GTAGCCACAACTGCATCATGGTAAACGTCTTCCATCTGCACAGCATGGGTCTTTCAGTCAAAATCTTTTTAGCATCTAAACCAGTGGGTCTCAACTGAGATGATTTGGTACACCCTCTCCCCCAGTGACATCTGGCAATGACTGGAAACACTGGTGGTCACAACTGGGAGGGTGCTACTGGCATCTAGTGGGTAGAGGCCAGGATGCTGTTAAACATCTTATAGTGCACAGAACAGCCCCCAACAACAGAGGATGATCCAGCCCCAACGTCAATAGTCCTGAGGCTGAGGGACCTTGCTCCAAATTGAAGGAGTGGTGAAACTCAGTTATCTCCTACAACTGACTGCCTGAGTTCAAGAACACTGAAAGAGTTAACACTAGCAAGGTACAAACTTGAAAGCACTTACACATATCATGCAGTATTTAAAAACACAATTTCTTCTATTTTCCTTAAAAAAAAAAAGTCAAAATCACAACCTGCCTCCTCCCCCCTTGACACTGGCCTGCAGCAATGTTAACATCCAAACACCAAGGCAATATGGATTCATTTCAAGGCTGCTGCCCTCTGCAGAAAAGGAGGCCAGGAGCTGGGCAAACTTTTAGAAAAAACAAAAAGCTCAGAGAGATAAATGAATGTTCTATCACTGGAGAAGCTTGGCAAGAAACTTGTGTCTGAGGGAGGGCTGGAGTGAGGGAGTTGATATGAAAAGAAATAGATACTGAGGGAGATGGGCTAAAACTGCTCAACAAAAAGGAAATACCAACAAAGAAACAGGCGAGATTTAAAATAATACCAGTCTGTGCCCAGAAGGGCGAGATCCAGGTGAAGCACTCATGGCTCCAGGGAAAACACTAGAGGCCAACATGTGAGCACACTCAGGAGACAGGGATGGCTAGCAGCAAGGGCTGACAGCCCCCAGCCCAAGCAGGGAGACTTCTGTGAAATGGCCCCGAGGGACCAGCCCAGCTTCCAGGCTCCCACCCAATCTCAACCACCCCACAAAGGGAGGCAATGGCTGCCCTCCACGAGACCACATTCCTGTTCTCTGAGCCTTTGCCCATGCTGTTCCTTCTGCCTGGAAAGCCCCCTACCCTCTCCCCTCCAGCCCCTGTGCCTGGCTCAGGCCTCCACCCTTGAGGCCATCCTGGAAGATGTCCCCGATTTTCCTGCCATTTTGGCACTGCTGTCCTTCATGTTAACCACCCACACACCAGTCCATGTGCCTGCTGAATGTTTGGACGGAGTTCCCCTGAGGGCAGAGACTGTGGCTTTTCACCAACATCTCTCTGGAGAGCTTTCTGCAATGGCGGTGCAGAACCAATGGTGGTACTGAGAACATGTGCAGAATGAACGCTTCTATTTTTATACAATGACAATTAGGTTCTCCCCCACCTTGCTGCCATGGTCGTGTGTTTCTGCAATAGCAGATGTCCACTGCATCAGTCAACATATTCTCTATCAAACCTCACTACTCCACAATATATGTGAAACTGATTTGACAATTTTCATCTGCAAACACTATAACCCTAAAACTCAAGCTGATATCTTAACATGTAATTGACAGTTTCTTAAAAGGCAAGCATTATATGGACATTTTAACAACAGAATACAATCATTCTTATCACCAATGCCTACACACGCACACACCCGCGCACGCACACGGACTCTTCCTCATCTAGCATATATTAGTCTGCACATTGCGGCTGATGTAGTCTAACTCTTTATAAAGCCACATTTCCCCAGCATGTTAAACAAAGCATGCAAGTCAATTTGAAGATACAGCCTTTCGAGTGGATCCCTTTAATTTGCTGGCTGTATTAAAAAGATAACATTAACATGACTTTGGCAGATAGGAGGATATGCAGAATAAGACAATGTGCATACACACACACGCTCCTGTGATTTTAAATCACAAGAGAAAGAGGTTCTTCCAAACTATCCCTCAGCATCCCTCTCCCCTTAAAATCTCATACTTTACTCTCTTCTGTTGTTTTCTAACTAGGGCAATATGCTACCTCTATCCATTTTGTTTATTTGTGTAGCAAGCACTCTGTTCTCGCCCAGTTCATATAAAAATTCATGTCCAGAACTTTCAGAACGACGTACCTCTTAACAAAGCACCATCTAACAGATTTCTTTACTGATCGCCATGAGGAATTTATCTATGAGACAGATGCACAAAATGAACTTAAATTTGGAGCTGCTACTCAATTCAATTCACGGACGTCTACTGAGGTCTAGGACAGCAGATTTCTCACTTCTGAATGCAAATGCTCACACTACTTACTGCTGACGTGAACACTCAGCTCACTGTGTCACAAACAAGATCTCCACACAGTTACTTCTGCTTTCAAATGAAATTAAATCTATATGGCTAGTGCGTATTGTCACCTATCTAGTTGGGTTTATCTGCATTTACGAAACTGTCGCTTCTTCTTTAGGGGGAGAGAGAATCTAGCACAGAATGAATGAATGAATGAATGAATGAATGAATGAGAGATCAAGGACAGGGCAACAGGAGAACAAGTGACTTATGTCATCAGTAGGCAAAACAGACCTGGAGACACACAGCAACCCATAGTTTCCCATCTGTAAAATGGGACAATCCTCATCATAAAGACATTACATCCACTATCATGTTATAAAAACAAAATAAAGTAATAATAGACAGCTATTTTATTGAGTTGTAAGGCATGTGATAATATATAACAAATGCCTGGTACATGGCAGTTGCTCAACAAGTGATAGTATTAGTAATGAGTAAATAACATTTGGCCCAAGAACCAATGAGCCATGCTGGAACTGCCAAAAGTAAGCAAAGTGAGCGTGCCCCTCAGACGTGTCCTCATCCAGTCCACTGAAAAAGAAAACCTCTACTCCCTCTCACTACACAACTGGCAGCTCCCATAAAACTGCTAGGAAGCACACTGCATCTCCTTCCGGGACTTGAAATGGGTCGTGTTATGCAGAAAGCAAGTTATTTCCAGAAATATGCAATGTTAAGAAAATAAATCACATTCTCTCTCCTTCGACGTGTTAAAGGTCCACTGAAAACTTGCTAAGAACACAAAATCGCGTTTTGTCATCCTCATCAGATGGCAACAAATACAGGTTGGATCAAGTGGTGGAAAGTGGTGGATGAGACGGCCCTCCCTGTTCTCAGGCCCTCTTCTGTCCCAGAATCTATGGCAGTGCCCCTACAGTCTAGCCAATCACATCACTTCCAAACTCCTCAGCTGGGGCCCCTGCTGGTGTGTCATGCCCCTGCCTAAAATGCCCTCCTTCCCCCACCGTCTCCAATTCTCTCCCCCCACCCCTAGTCTGCCTCACCACTTCCATGGAAGCTCCCCTACCACCCTCTTGTAACTTTCACAGCCCATTTCAACTGTGAACCCAAATGTAGTCCAAATGCATCGAATCCCAACAGTTTTAAATTGTGCAGTGTCGCACACACTTGAGTCTCTTACGGTGCTTAACACAGTGCTAGGGATATCATAGGTGCTCAGGAAACTTGTTGCTAGGAGCATAATAGCTGCTCGATAAAACCCTTCTTTTATCTATCAGCGATACTGAATCGCTGAACTGAGGTAAATTACTCCATGGATTCAATCCAAAGAACGCTTTTGTATTAATTACCAAACTACTTAAGGCAGGAATGTTTTGTCTTAATTATGTAGACTATTATTTTAATTGTCACTTCTCAATTAAATACTCCAACTCCACCACAGGCTTGCAAAACTCCGCAAGCTGAATCTTCACAAACAAGGAGAGATTAAGGAAATATTCTCCAGGGTTCGTCTCCAACAGCATCCTGAAAGGGATCATTGAAGCGATGAGGCGCAGAAGTCCGCAGCTTCCACAGGCTGTCCGGAGGAACGCTCCAGCATTTTGGTTTGAAATATCTACAGAGTCACCTCAGCTCTCCCCTACCACCCTCTTGTAAGATAAGGGATGCCCCAAGTGGTGTTTAGGGTTAAAATGATTCCAAATAGCAGGATTTGGAATTTGCCAAAAAGATAAATAAGAAACAACCAGCAGGGTAAAAAATGGAAGCCTGTGTCACCAAAATAATGTAAAAATGTTTGCCCTCGAAAAAATACACATCTATTTTAAATCTGCAACTGCTTTGCTAAGGTCCCAAGAACTCTAAAACTGAGGACCGTGGAAAAAAGACTGGCAGAACCCCTCCAAGAGGTCCCTTCAACCCCGCGTTCTTAAAACATTTCTTTCCTTCGCCTGCAGAATGCAGCCTTCTCCCAGAATAATTCCATGTAAAAAGCCCCCACCCGCGAGGAAACATTAATCTACTTTGCAAACATGCGTTCCAGTCTGTGCCTTACTATTTTTTTTCCACTCCTTCCACCCCCACCCCGCTTTTTTTGTACCTTGAGACAAATGGTTTTTTCCCTCAGAGTTGAAAGCGGTCCAAAAACAGGACCACACACGCCGCCGCCTCCGCAGGCCCGCGCTGCGCCCGCCCCCGGCCCTCCCCAGCGCGCCGGCCGCGGCCGCCGGGGGCGCGCACACTCCAGCCAGCCGGAGGGGTGGCCTCTGGCTCCCCCCGACTCCTTTCTCTTTGGACGCGGTGGGTGGGGGTGGGGAGGAGAAGGAAGCCGGGCCGGGGAGCCCGGCCGGGAGAGGCCAGCCCCGGGGCGCGTCTCGGGGCGCGGCCCAGGCGGGCGGCGGCGGCGGCGGCGGGCCCGGGAGCCCCCGGCGCGCGGAGTGGTCCGTCCCGGAGGGGCCCCGCGCCCCCGGCCCGCCCCCGCCGCTCTCTCCCACCACACCTCGGCCGGCGCAGCGCCCCGAGTAGATTACAGCGCGGCCTTTGTCGGGCGGGCCTGGCTCCCGGCCAGGCGCCCAAACAATAAACAATCCCCCGGGTGCGGGCAGGGGGTTTCGCCGGCCGCAGCCGGGCTCTAGGTGTGCGCTGGCGAATATCTCTATCAACCGCGAGGAGGGACCGGGCCGGGGGCGCGGGCGCCGCGGCGGGCGCTCTTACCTTCCACCCACAGCTCCTCCACGTTGGTCTCGAGGTTCGCTGCCTTTAATCCCACCGCGAAGGCCCCAAATATGAGGAGGCCCACAACCAAGAACTTGCCGCAGTTTTTTTGAATGTAACAACCCAGTTTAAATAAGAGTCTCTGAAACTTCGCTCTCAGCCACAGCGGCGCTTTCCGGCCAGTAGCCTTCCCCTGGGGACGAAGCAGAAGGGAGGAGTGAGCGCCGGGGAGTCGCGGCCCGCGCGCCCACGCCCGCTCGCGCGCACCCGCCCGGTGAGCCCCCAGCAGCCGTGGGGGCGCAGGTGGCCGCGGCACACGGACTCGCCCTCGAGGCTGCAGTCCCGGCGGACCTGAGCGTCATGGGGGGGGGGGGGGGGCTCGGTCATAAATCAAAGCCGGGCCGCAGCGTGGGAGCTGCACCTCGGGGACATCAGGGCGCCCCCACCCGCGGGATCCCTGAGTACCACTTGGGGCACTGGGGCTGCAATACAGGAGAAGAGGAAGCCGAGGTAGAGAGGAGAGAAACCACTAGACACAGGCAATAGTCACCCCAGACCTGAGAAGGGAGGGGCTGCGTAATCCCAGCGATGGAACCCAAGGTTCAGGAGCCAGCAAACCAGTCCTGTTCGTCCATCACCCTCGGGGACGGGCGCTAGGGGCGAGCGCGCTTGGGAACAACATATTGCGGGTTCCCCCAACTGGACCCCCGCCTAGAGTGGTAGTAAGTGGGGATCCACGTGGTGAGCGCGGCCGCCGGAGTTCACTCCGACGCTTTTCCATAGCGTTGGAAGAGGCTGTGTGAGCTGAATTAGGAAGTGGGGCAGCCATCTGCAACTTACGACAATATTTGTGATCGGAAGAGGGCGGCCACATGGATCCTTCCCTCCTCTCCCTTCCTTTCTGGTTAAACGTAAAAAACAGCCGAGTGCACAGGGAAGGGCCCAGGCCGGCGCAGGCTGCTCCCCGGCGCGGCGTTTCCCCGGCGCTGGCCGCGGCCCCGGCGGGCCCCCGTCTGGGTGCTCGCCTTCCCCGGATTCCACACATTTCAGCGAGCCTCGTAAACACAATGAACCCGGCCGCTCCGCAGACTCGCACCGCGAATTTAAGGTGGCAATTTGTTTACAACTTTCCCTCCCCCTACCAGGCCCTGAGGAGAGGCGGCTCAAAACCTGGAAAACACGGGGAATGTCTTTTTCCGAGAATAATTTTTTAAGGGAGCAGAGATTTCATGCTCAACAAAAGCAAAACCGGCTGCCAAAAAAGGAAACCACCTTTATTTCGGCTCCCTCCCCCCTTCCTCTCTCCGCCTCTCTCCACTCCGCCTCCCCCTCCAAGATGTTAAATGCTCACTCTCCTGCCCGGTAGTGCTGGGGTCTTCCTGTCCCCATGCTCACTTCCTGCCTGGGGTCTTCCGGTCCCCATGTTCACCTCCTGCCCGGGGCCCCAGTCCCCATGCTCACCCTGCCTGGCAGTGCTGGGATCTTCCGGTCCCCATGCTCACCTCCTGCCTGGTAGTGCTGGGGTCTTCCGGTCCCCATGCTCACCTCCTGCCTGGGGTCTTCCGGTCCCCATGCTCACCTCCTGCCTGGCAGTGCTGGGGCCTTCCGGTCCCCATGCTCACCTCCTGCCTGGTAGTGCTGGGGTTCCTCCAGTCCCATGCTCACCTCCTGCCTGGTAGTGCTGGGGTCTTCGGGTCCCCATGCTCACCTCCTGCCTGGGGTCTTCCGGTCCCCATGCTCACCTCCTGCCTGGGGTCTCTCGGTCCCTCATGGGCTCACCTTCTGCCTGGCAGTGCTGGGGTCTTCCGGTCCCCATGCTCACCTCCTGCCTCGTAGTGCTGGGGTCTTCCGGTCCCCATGCTCACCTCCTGCCTGGCAGTGCTGGGGCCTTCCGGTCCCCATGCTCACCTCCTGCCTGGTAGTGCTGGGGTCTTCCAGTCCCATGCTCACCTCCTGCCTGGTAGTGCTGGGGTCTTCGGGTCCCCATGCTCACCTCCTGCCTGGGGTCTTCCGGTCCCCATGCTCACCTCCTGCCTGGGGTCTTCCGGTCCCCATGCTCACCTTCTGCCTGGCAGTGCTGGGGTCTTCCGGTCCCCATGCTCACCTCCTGCCTGGTAGTGCTGGGGTCTTCCAGTCCCCATGCTCACCTTCTGCCTGGCAGTGCTGGGATCTTCTGGTCCCCATGCTCACCTCCTGCCTGGTAGTGCTGGGGTCTTCCGGTCCCCATGCTCACCTCCTGCCTCGTAGTGCTGGGGTCTTCCGGTCCCCATGCTCACCTCCTGCCTGGGGTCTTCCGGTCCCCATGCTCACCTTCTGCCTGGCAGTGCTGGGATCTTCTGGTCCCCATGCTCACCTTCTGCCTGGCAGTGCTGGGATCTTCCGGTCCCCATGCTCACCTCCTGCCTGGTACAGCTGGCCCCAGCTTGATGTAGGAGCAGCAATGATCAAAATATTTCCAAAGACATAAAGAATACAGGTTCAAAGGGCTTTGCAAGTGGAAAGCAGAACCCAAGTATAAAACGTTATTTTGTGTCCCAGGATCCTGAGATAATGATTTTTCTGGAGTCTTCTTCAGAGGGGTTGTTATTTGATTGTTAATATAGGAGGACTTCAGAATATGATGGACGTGCGTATGATTATTTTTATAGTTTATTAGTATTGATACATAATACTGTATATATCTGTGGTGTATATGTGATGTTTTGGTATAAGCATATGATGTCTAATGATCAGATGAGAGTAGTTGGAGTGTCCATCACCTCAAACACATTCATCACTTTTTTGTGTTGAGAACATTCTAAATCTTCTCTTCCAGTTATTTTGACATATGCAATATATTGTTGTTAACTGTAGTCTCCCTACTATGCTATGGAACACTAGAATGTATTCTTAACTGTATGTTGGTACCCATTAACCCACCTCTCTTCATTTCCCCTCATTCTTCCCAGCCTCTGGTAACCCTCATTCTACTCTCTATCTCCATCAGATTAACCTTTTTTTTTAACCTCTCACATATGAGTGAGAACAGAGATGCATATTATTTTTTTGCATTGAGTTTGTTTTTAATTCATATCTCTACCAAGTAGCTCTCATATCTATTTTTCTCTTTTTTTTTTTTTTTTTTTTTGTGTGTGTGTGTGTGTGTGTGTCACATAGAAGATTTTGTTTTTCTGGTTTTTGTTTTGTTTTGAGGTGGGGTCTCATGCCGTTGCCCAGGCTGGAGTGCAGTGACACAGTCACAGCACACTGGACCCCCCCAACTCCTGGGCTCAGGCGATCCTCCCACTTCAGCCTCTGAAGTAGCTAGAACTCAAGGCAGCCTCCACTACTCCACAGCTGTTTTTTTAACTTTTTATTTGTAGAGATGAATATGTTTATCTGTGTTGCCCAGACTGGTGTCGAATCCTGGCCTTGAGTGATCCTCCCACCTTGGCCTCCCAGAGCGCTGGGATTACAGGCATGAGCCACCATGTCCAACCATAGAAGTTTTTAATTATACTCTTTCATTGTAGAAAAATTAATAGAAATAAACTTAAAAAAGCAAAGCAGGTAAATACTACCCATAGCCCAGCCAGGCACAGTGGCTCACGCCTGTAATCCCAGCACTTTGGGAGGCCAAGGAGGGCAGATCACAAGGTCAGGAGATCGAGACCATCCTGGTTAACACGGTGACACCCCATCTGTACTAAAAATACAAAAAACTAGCCGGGCGTGATGGCGGGCGCCTGTAGTCCCAGCTACTCGGGAGGCTGAGGCAGGAGAATGGCGGGAACCCGGGAGGCGGAGCTTGCAGTGAGCTGAGATTGGGCCACTGCACTCCAGTCTGGGTGACAGAGCAAGACTCCGTCTCACAAAAAAAAACAAAAACAAAAACAAAGTTATTCATAGCCCACCACACAGCAAAAATGGCTATTAACTTGGTTCCCTATACCTACATCTACGTAACAGATACTGGATTTAATAGTGATTTTCTTCTGCACTATTTCATGAACATTAGATTATTTTTAAAATACATTAGGACTTTGATCCTGAAAATGGACAAGAGTCATGCCTGAAATCCCAGCACTTTGGGAGGTGAAGGCAGGAGGATTACTTGAGCCAAGGAGTTTGAGACCAGCTTGGGCAACATAGTAAGGCCCCCGTATCTACCCAAAAAAATGAAAAAGTAGCTGGGCATGGTGGTGTGTGCCTGTAGTTGTAGTTATCTTGGGGACTGGGGGGCAGGAGGATCGTTTAAACCCAGGAGGTTGAGGCTGCAGTGAGCTGTGATTGTGCCTCTGCACTCCAGCCTGGGTGACAGAGCAAGACCTTGTCTTTAAATAAAGAGAAGGAAAAGAAAGGAGAAACCTGTTTCTCCAACACCACGACCTTCATCTCAATCATCTAAAATGGGTTCTGTGGAGCTTCCTGGGCTCAAAGCTTCACACTTAGGGATGATAAGGTAGACAGCAAGGTAATGAACAGCTTTCAGCTGTCATTCAGCAGTGATTTAGGATAGGTGTTTGCTAGGGTAGCAAATGTCAGACGCGTCTGTAAAATTGCTCTATCCTGAAGGGTTTCTGTTTCTGGCAGCTTGTTCCAGAGCGTGTTGGGTGAATACTGATGTCAGGATATATGAGTGTCGTGTACTTTATGACACAGTTATACCCAGGAAGGGGCTGAGTCTACCAGTGAACGTGGTAAATGACACAAGACTTAATGATGGTCTCAGCAAGCTCCACCACACTTGCCTCCCTTCTCTCCCTGCAATAAGCCAAACCTGGGGCATTTGCAGCTGCTAGTTCCTCTACCCAGAACGCTGTTCCTCCAGCCCTTCAAAGTCACCTAAATGTTGTTTCCCTTTAGGTCTTCCCTGCTATCCCATTTGAAGTAGCTTTTCCCCTTCCCCACCACCCAACATGGCATCACCATCTTTGTTTTCTCCATCACACTTGTGCTATGAAGGTATCTTACTGCTTTGCTTGGCTGTTGCCTGTTCCCTTCACTGGCCAGCACGCCTCTTGGAGAGAGACCACACTGACTGGTTTTGTCCACCACATCCCCACGGCGTACGACAAAGTACCCACCCACAAATGCTTGCTGGATGAATGAATCACGTTACGGCTGTTGGTCAGATAAAATGCATGGCAACCAAACGTCATTAAAGTTTTTGAATCATTTTGCAAAACATTCATATTTGGTTAAATGTAAGATGAAAGATTAGATAAAATATGACCATGTAATATGTAAAAATGAATTGAATTGAACAGTACATATGGCAGAGGTGGTTGAGAAAACTGTAGAGGTCAGAGTCTCAACTCTCGTTGCTTGGCCACCCTGTAGCGATAGTCTTGGTTGAAACATCATGTTGGCAAAATTGTGTTCATCACTAGAGCAAAGAGATGGAGGAGAGAAAAGTTTTCCAATTCTAGAGAAAGGACAAATCTATACCTTTATTAAAATGTTTATGTCAATATACATCTTAAAACATCTAAAAAGGGGACATGATGGAGACTCCCCGGGTACATTTTATATCTTGTAGAAAATAAGTGCCATTTCCGAAACACCCTGTGTTTCCATTATGAGGTTGGTCTGGAAGAGTATGGTAAAAAGTTCTTAGCAGCGCAGACTTTGTGTTTGGTTTTGCTATTTTTGTGCACACTGCACTCGGGTCACCTCGAGGGCTGTACAGTTAACAGGCAGCTGCTCTGCTACGGCCTGATGGGCAGAATCCTACAGAAGCCGGGCTGTCTGTCATGGACTGCTGCTCACTGGAACAGCACCCAAATCACCATCCTAAGGGTGCGGGCTGTGCTTTGTCGCTGTTGTTTTTTAGTTTCGTGGATTTAAGTCACCTGATATTCTAAACTTCAGTAAATGTGCAGAAGGTGCTACTTTGTAAGCAGAATGAAAAACCATGCGCATGCTCGTGTTTGAGGAGGCAGGTAAACATGGGAATGACTTCTAGGTTTGTGGCGTGAGATGTGATAACACCAGGAAAAAAGAAGGGGTGAGCAAAGGCTGCGTTGAGCTCCTTGATGGGCAGCTCTGCAGCTGTGACCTCTGGACTCATAACTGGCTTTTTAGTCTCATATAACTTCTGCACTTCTAGGGCTTGTGGGCTGGCTCAAATTCAGTGAATTGGTTGGAAGTCTGCGTGGTGTTAAGTACTGTGCTTTGTGCTAGAGTGAGCAAGGCCCTGCCTTCAGGCAGCTTTCCCAGGGCTTACAGAAAAGGGCAGCCGAGTAGGGAAATGCTTCTCTGTGCCAGTTGTTGCCCAGTGTTTTCCCGTGGCTTTTCCTTAACTTCACATTGATTGCAAGGCCCTCGGCAGTCCCCCCTGGCATTTTTCAAAGTTTTCTGCACACAGAAGTTTTATTCCTTTTTATTAACCGACGGATACTTTCCTCCCTCCTTCCCGACCCCACACGCAGTATGTTAAACCTCACCTCACGGGGCTCCTGGCCTTGGCATCCGCGTGGACCTGCACAGAGGGTCCTGCCAGGCGGTGAATTTGTACTGGTTTTCCTAATGAGGGCATTATTTGCTTTTTAGCCTGCCCCCTTGTTTATAAAATATGCCAAGAGAACTAAACAACCCGCTGTTCCCAGTCCTTATTTACTTGTCCAAACCAAATGTTTATGTCCTTGAATACTAAACTTGAAGAAAAAGGATTCCTCCTCGTGGGAAAGCTATGATCACTGAGTTTTTTCTAAACTGTAGCTGCAGGCCTGCTTTTCAGTCAACATGCAACTTATCAGTGACTTTAGGGACAATTCAGACCCGCTTCCTTTGCCCTAGAGTGTGGGGTGGGGGAGCTCTACGTTCCCGGGTCTGTAACTGTTAATATCTCCCTGAGACACCTCCTGGGCCAGGTGCAGCATTCGGAGCTTGGCTTGGCCCAGGACCGTTCATTGAACATAACCTTGGGCCTAACGATGTAAAAAGGAGAGGAAGAGAAAAGGCAGTTGGCAGTCACAGTGATGATGGTTTTCTTTGGTCACCTGTGCCTGCGCTGGCTTTGGGCATGCCGCGTGCTGGCCAGCTTGCTGGAAAGCCGGGTCGGTGTGAGGCAGGACTTCTCGGCCTGGGCAGCAGGTTCAGGATCACCTGGGACGCTTCCGGAACACAGGCTGCTTGCCCCCAGCTGACTCAGAACCTGGCACCTGTGTTTTCTGGATGCTGACCAGGGGAGTCTGATGGAACCAGGTTCCAGGGACTGCCCATGATGGCTGTGGCTAATACATTTTGTTCCTCTCAAGTGGAATTTCCCCATGGGCATCTGACTTGAACCACTTTATCTTCTCCTGGCAAGTTTTGTGCGGAACACACACTTGTCACCTGTCCTTGTTTCTTTTTCCACGAGGAGAAACATTTCCTTGTTACCTTTGCCAGATTACTTAGGAGAAGAGTGTAAATTGAAGCCATTTATCTTGAAATGTGCTGCAGGGGCACGTTGTTTATACAAGTGAAAGAAATTGTAACAGGGTTATTTGGTCTGGTCTGCAAGGAAAAGGTGTCTCAAGTTTTCCTTTCTGCTCCCCCCCTTCTGCTCCCCCTTTCTGCACATAGTATATTAGTTAGAATTAGGTTTGCGTCTGTGACAGGCGGGACAGCCATTAATAGGCTTAGTGAGTATTTTTTATGTTTACTATTGGTAAAGTTAACAATGCCATTAATAATAAAGTGAATGTTACTGCTCACACATCAGCCAGTCTCATGACCAGAGTTCATCTATTGTGTATCCTATGGCAGGTAGTCAGATAACAGATAAAACGTGAGTTTGCAGTGATTTTGCTATTCTAATTAAACCTGTACATGTTTGTCAGTTGGAGGACGAGTAAGTCGTGAATTAAATTATACTCGCCAGAAGATTGGAGAAGAGGCTATGTTTAATCCTCAACTCATGATACAGACCCCTAAGGAAGAAGGTGCTAACGTCCTGACCACAGAAGCACTCCTACAGCACCTGGACTCCGCGCTCCAGGCCAGCCGTGTCCACGTATACATGTACAACAGGTAATGCCCACCGCGCCCACCCACTGATGAGCAGCAGGTAAGGCGGTGGGAGAAGGCTACTGGTGTAGGTCCTGTTATTTTAGTAAATGGAGTTGCCCTGGAAATGCACCTGGAGTATTAGTTCAGATAGCTTTGCAATGAAAGGATTTTTTTCATCTTGATTTGTTTCTCCAGTGTGGTAACAAAGCAAGTGCATTACTTGATAATGTATTACCAGTAAGTATCTTGGCACTGTCCCCAAATGAGAGTGACCCTGAGCCCGTTGGGGTCTGTACACCAACGCTGTAAGATGTTTCATTGCTTAAGAGATTTTCGGAGCAGTGATACTTTGAGTTGCCCTTAGTGAACTCACAATGCGAAAAAGAAGAGCTGTTTCTTGTGACTTTGTACTCGTGGTTATTTTGTGTCACACAGCGTGTTGGGGGCTGAGCCACCATGGGAATTGTTGCTGACACCTTTTTATATTTTTTTGAGACAGAGCCTCTGTTGCCCAGGCTGGAGTGCAGCGGTGCAATCTCGGCTCACTGCAACCTCTGTTTCCTGGGTTCAAGCAGTCCTCATGCCTCAGCTTTCCAAGTAGCTGGGACTAGAGGCACCTGCCACCACGCCTGGCTAATTTTTGTATTTTCAGTAGAGATGGGGTTTCACCATGTTGGCCAGGCTGGTCTCGAACTCCTGACCTCAGGTGATCCACCCACCTCAGCCTCCCAAAGTGCTGGGACTACAAGTGTGAGCCACCATGCCTGGCCCGCTGACACCTTTTGAAAAAGTCATCTTTTAGCATCATATTGCTGATTTCACAATGCTGTGAGTAGAGTAAAGCATTAGGAAGAGTTCAAAACTCGGTCCTTTTTCTCATGTATCTAGACTGTCGGTTACTACAGGGCAGGGGCCACCTCTCACCTGTTTTCACCCCAGCATTGAGAACAGAGTGGGCATTCAGTTTGTTGATTGCTATTGAGGTTGGCATCACTAAACCCCATTTCCAGGGGACCTCTGAGTTGATGTCACCCAACCCCATTGCCTTCCCTAGGCTTTCAGCACCTCTTCACTGAGGCCTTCACTAGTACCCTTTATTCTTCCCGGAAGAGGTGAGGAAGGAGCAGTGTAGGCATATTCGGCAGCCAGGGAGAACCAAAGAAGAGAATAAAATTAAGATTTTTACTTGTCCCTGCTCTAACCTCTGCTTATGTTCCAGCTTGACAGGATCCTAGGGACAAGCACAGCCAGGGGCAAGTCACATGTCCATGTCTTTGGCACATTCTTGTTTGCTTATCTGTGACCTGGGCTTATGGTCATGTGTGTTGGTGTCCTCCGTGGTCGCCAGAGCAAGATCAGATATATGAATGCAAGGGCCTTAGAACATGTAAAATCATGTTTCTGCCAGGCAGACTTGCCCTGCTGGTCTGTAACAAGCATTGTAGGGAAGCAACTACCCAGTGTAGTTTTGCAGAATGTGAAGTGGCATCCCTGATGGCTCCCTGGGAGCCAGGAAATGCGTGTCCTAGGGCCACTGCAAGCATGGCCAGTGCATTCTTAGTGTGTGTCACCTACATGCTTCTGGAGAAGACGTGAGGGTCTGTGCAATTAAATTACACTCTTAAGCTGAGATGGGTCGAGAGTAATTTTATGCATTGGAATGAACTTTAAGAACGTGTAGTTCAACCCATCCCACGTTCTAGGTGAGAAAACTGGGAATTAGACTAATTAGAGCATTTGTCCAAGTTCATGCAGTTATGAAATGAGAGAACCAGGTTTCAAAGCCTTTTTCTGGCTTCAAGCCCGTTAGTTTTTCTAATGCACAGTGATGCCCTTCTCAAGCAAGTGTAGATGAGAGTTGATCAAGTAATATAAACTGAGAACCAACTCACGCTGGATATTCTATGTTGATGCTATGTAGAATTACAATAGAAATACGTCCATGGATGGATGGCTGGGTGGAGGATGGAGGAGAGATGGGTAACTTAGGCACAGCTCTCAGAGAGGAAAGACATGAGTATAGATAGACATGAACAGAGCAAACGGGGGCGGTCCCCATGACAGCTGCGCAGGAGATCTGCCCAGCCAGGGCTCTAGAGTTCAGGAGAAAGGGGTCATTTTCAACAAACTTAACAGGGGGGTGACATTTCAACAGGGTGCTGAGAGACAGATAGGAAGGCACAGGGAAGAGGACACAGTAAGCTCCCGGGGTGAAGACAGTCCTGCCGTAGGAGGCCAATAATAGAGCAGTTGGGAGGGAGGTTTTTACTTTTTTTTTTTTTTCTTCCCTTGGACTTTTCCATCCCCACCGCTTTCAAATTTTCTTTTCTTTTTTCTTTTTCTTCTTCTTTTTTTTTCAGTTAGACTGATCTCCCTAACACACTTGGAAAGATATGGGCGTATATAACGCTTTTCTAGAGACAATAAAACTCCAGATTAATTTTTCTTTCTTTGTTTGTTTGTTTTTGAGAGATGGGATCTTGCTCATCTAGGCTGGAGTGCAGTGGAGCAATCATAACTTACTGCAGCCTCGAGCTCCTGGGCTCAAGTGATCCTCCCACCTCTGCCTCCCGAGTAGCTGGGACTATATACGTGTGGCACCACGCCTGGCAATTTGTTTTTCATTTTTTTTGTAGAGACAGGGTCACTCTCTGTTGCCCAGGCTGGAGTGTGGTGGCACGATCACAGCTCACTGCCTCAGCCTTCCAGGCTCAAGTAATTTCCTGTCTAGAGCTGGGACGACAGGCGTGCACCACTGCGCCCAGCTATTTTTTTAAGTTTATTTATTCACTCACTCATTCATTCATTTATAGTAGAGCTAGGGTCTCACTTTGTTGCCCAGGCTGGTTTCAAACTCCTGGCTTCATGCTGTCCTCCCGCCTGCACCTCCCAAAGTGCTGGGATTACAGGCGTGAGCTGCAGCACCCAGCCCCAAATTAATTCTCGATCTGTGTATGTATTCACGTTTCTGTGCGATAGGAATAGAAGAGACTGTGAAGTTAGAATGTGGCCCACCTGGCACATGTTGTTGTTTATAATATTAATGGTTAAGAGCAGAAGCGTTCATTTTGAACACTACCCATTCAGGACATGATCTGCCAGTAAAACACCTCCGCACCTGAATACGTGTCAATACTTTGCAAACCTAATTTAATCCCCACCTATTTTGAATTTGTGATAATTCAGCTGGGCTGCCCTGAAGTTGTTTAATGTATGTAGAAAAGCAGATTAATGGTGTAAACAAGATTATTGGGAGAACACTTAAGAAAACAAGACTTTTCAAGTACTTTGGTAGCATTCATTTACATAAACACCCTACATGTTAATTACGATTGAGTATTATCTATTCATTAAAGCAAGCTTGCTGGGTCTCTACTTGGCAAAAGCGCTGCTCGTTTTGACAGATGCTTAAAAGTGATCGAAATTGCAGTTCTTTTTATATGTTCTGTCATTCCGAATTTGCACTCATTTTCTTACCTTCCAGTGAGAAATGTTTGTCTCTGCTTTTCGTTTTATTAGGCAGTGGAAGTTGGAACATTTGTGTTACAAATCCGGAGAGCTTATCACAGAAACAGGTTACATGGATCAGGTACATTTTCTTCTTGTTGGCAAAAATTTCTCAGGAACACCCCAATAGTATGCCTTAACCTAACACGTGGCCTCTTCTTTTTAACTTCGACAGATAATAGAGTATCTTTACCCTTGTTTGATTATTACACCTTTGGACTGCTTCTGGGAAGGGGCGAAATTACAGTCTGGGACAGCGTACCTCCTGTAAGTGTGTGATCGCGCTTTCTGATGTCTGTGACTTCTCTAGGACTCAGTGTTTCTGATGTTGCTTATCATTGCTTGTTCCATTTCGGTTTTGAACAAGAAATAAAAACATTGAAATTCCATGTGCATTTTTTGAGTGAATAGTCGGGGGAGAGGGGATTTCAGCAGAATGTTTTTTCTCTTTTCAAAAAACAGTTCTGTAGGCGTCATTAAATTTCATTCACTTTTACCAACCTATTTATATGCAAATAAAATGCAAATTATTGCAGAGTACGTGTGATTTTTTAACTCTTTAAAATGTTCGTAGTTTCGAAGACTAGGCATTTAGACACTTATTTTTTAAGGAGATACTTTATTAGTGGGTACACGTCAGAACGAAATATTTTAAGTCTGAGATCTTCCTGTGAAGTGAAATGCTAACCTTTCTTCAGATCACACTAATGGCATTTAAGGGGAAAATCCAGTATCTGTGAAGGCCACGGTGGGGAATACTTCACCGTTTAGCAGTTGGATATTATATATACCGCATCATTTAGAGAATAATTGTTAATCAGCATAGACATTTTCAGTTAATTATGCAAGAGTGAGAGCTTGGGTTATTGTTTCTGTCCTGGCTTGCACGTATCTGCAAAAGCAATTTGCAGTGGCCATCCCCTGACCTTCAGTGTACAGTTTTAGATGGGAAATAAGGGGTTTTGTGTTTTCTGGTTGGGAGATTCCGAATAATGACTTCAGCCTGGTTAAGCAGCTACAGTGTGGTTTGAACCACATAACAGGCAGCCAAAAGCCTTTCTGGTCTGTCAACAGCACAAATTCAAAAGTGAGTGTGGGGGGAAGTGGCTGTGATGGTGGTGATGGCAGAGGCCGCAGGGGGCTTGCCCACTCCATTGCCAGGCTGTCAGAGAGCTCATAAGTATGGAATTGTTAAAGGTAGCAGGGATCAAATATTTTGATTGATGACATTTACAAAGCATTTATTAGGCTGCCAAGTGCTAATTTGACATTGTGACACCCTCTTTTAAAAAAAAAAAAATTAATTTTGGATCTGTCTTTTGGCTAATTTTGTCTGTAGATATTAAATATACAATATCAGCAGTTAAAGATTGTTCAGTGCCCTCATTAATTTATGAGTCCTCTCTCTGCTTAGCATCTTCAGTCATGAATTATTTTCCTGACCTAAGTTTGCATGCAGATATGCTGGAAAGGAGCATTTGTTTTGATGCCAGAGTCCCAAAATTGCAGCATTGCCAGGAGCCTCCTACAAGGCGGATGCAGTGGGTGCAGCCCTGTGACTTTACGATGAGTTTAGAAGGCTCTTTTCATGGTCTCGTCTGCTGATTTCTTTCGCAGAGGTAAACCTCCTTTGCGATGGACAAACTTCGACCCTTTGGAATTCCTAGAAGAGTTAAAGAAAATAAACTATCAAGTGGACAGCTGGGAGGAAATGCTGAATAAGGCTGAGGTTGGTCATGGTTACATGGACCGCCCCTGCCTCAATCCGGCCGATCCAGACTGCCCCGCCACAGCTCCCAACAAAAATTCAACCAAAGTGAGTGTCAGCAGTGAGCGCGCTCAGAAGGGGTGGAGAGCAAAACACTTTTTTGTGTCCATTCATCGTTCACTTTATTATTTTCATTTTTAACATTTCATTCTCCACGATCGTCTTTGTCTATGGAACTAAGTTTGTTTATAGAGCTAAATTTTGCTGTAAGATTTGCCATACGCCTCTCATTAGCCCAGCTATTAATGTTCTCTCTGAAACACACAAGCCCTTAATGCACTGGATTTTAACAAGGCATGTGACCTGCCTACTAATTCCCATAATTATGTGGCTGTCTTTTTATTTTAGCCTCTTGATATGGCCCTTGTTTTGAATGGTGGATGTCATGGCTTATCCAGAAAGTATATGCACTGGCAGGAGGAGTTGATTGTGGGTGGCACAGTCAAGAACAGCACTGGAAAACTCGTCAGGTAAGCCAGCTCCCGAAGACAGTCTATGCCCTCTCGTCTTCCTTTCTTCAAAAGCCACTTCCCTCCTGACATCAGCAAGTATATTTGTGTTAATACTTAAACCATTATCCTTGCTAGCTGGGTGGCGTCCTAGAATATTAAGAAATACTAGCAGACTGCAACAGCTTGAAAAAGCACCTTGTGGGGAATTTTTCAAGAATGGATTTGTAGTTTTCATCAAGACCGTAGTTCCTGACCGTAGGATTTCAGGAGATCGGCCCATTATGTAGAGAAGCGGGGCAGGTGTAAAGTAGGCCGGGAGACACTGGTCAGAGAGAGTTCATGGTGCAAGCTGCACAGTGTCAGACTGTTAAAGGAAAAGACGAAGAGCCAGCGGCTCAATAAGAATTATCCTTTGTGCACTTGTGGACTCTGGTCAGTCAGGTGTCTGGCATTTCGTGTAAGATTTCTCCCCTGGGAACACCGTCGTCTGGGATTTCTGCGCGGCGAGTATGCTTCGCTGAGCCCGGTGTATCTGCTCAAGCTATCTGCTCCTCTCCCCTTCCTGTTTCATGGAATGGAAACTGTGAAAGGAAATTGCCTATTAATTTAATTTTGGGGTCTATCTGTAAAAGGTTTGTAAGGTTACACCTTTAATATGGTACCTCAATCTATTAAATAAAATAACCATCCTGGTTCCATTTTAATGGAAACATGTGCTCACGGAGAAGGAAGAGAATTGCAGCCAGTGAGTTGGGGGAACTGGCTGGGGATTTGAGGCAGTGGAAACAGCTTCCTGGGCGTACTGATGATGTGCCTTCCCTTGGACTGTGCCACAGCGCTCATGCCCTGCAGACCATGTTCCAGTTAATGACTCCCAAGCAGATGTACGAGCACTTCAAGGGGTACGAGTATGTCTCACACATCAACTGGAATGAGGACAAGGCGGCAGCCATCCTGGAGGCCTGGCAGAGGACGTATGTGGAGGTAAACCCACCTTCGAGTCGGCCTGCAGACTCGCTGGTTACGCAATTCTTCGTTTTCACCATTATTTAAAACATTTCTTTCCATTCGCTTTATTTTCAAAATGTTGCAATTCCGGGAACTTGATGGCATGAAAACTTTTTTCCTCTTCTTTGATATTGAAAATCCTAGGATACTATCGAAGAGACCAGTTCTAATTGGGGTGCCCTCAGACATGTTTAGTAAGCGGTTGTGAACTACAGAACTAAAGCACCTAACAGTGTTTAAAAAAACACTTGGTTAGCAAAGGTGTCTGGAAAACATTAGCAAGGCATAGAATCTGTTCACAGCTGCAGGCCCCTTGGCCAGGTCATGTGACAGGAGCTGGCCTTTGTTTCCCAAGCAGTGACCTCTGCCAGGCTGCATGTGACCTTTTAAAAGTGGCCAGCAAATGAACAGGGGGAGGAGGGCCGTACGAATGGGTTGTTTTGGATTAGGGGGGAGCTGATGGGACCGCAAGTCAATTGTGAAGTTACAGAGAAGAGACGAGCAGTCTCAGCCCTGGAGTAAGTACAGCACTCGGAGTGAACTCCATCAACACCGGCCCTCAGCAGCACCCACTGCCGCTGATTAGCCACGGCCCTTGTCCTCAAACAGGGTTCTTTAATGTTAGCCCAAGTTCAGCTTCCCTCCCTGCCCTGGAATCACGTAGAGCTTTTTAAAAAATGCATTAGAATAAAAGAAGGCCTGGGCTGTGTCACCTGAGGTCTGTGCTGTCGAGGCTTGTGAAGCGTTCATTACATTTGGGCATTTCACCTTCTCTTGTGACCACAGGTGGTTCATCAGAGTGTCGCACAGAACTCCACTCAAAAGGTGCTTTCCTTCACCACCACGACCCTGGACGACATCCTGAAATCCTTCTCTGACGTCAGTGTCATCCGCGTGGCCAGCGGCTACTTACTCATGGTAATGCTCAGTGCCATGCTCTGGGGGGCTGGAGTTTGGTTTGGTTGTTTTAGTCTTTACTTTTCCATGACCGCTCCTGCTTCTTAACTGCTCTTAACATCCACGTGCATCCGGGCCAGAGAGAGCGTGGCGTCACAGTGGTTTAAAAGTGGTCGTGTAAAGCGTTTTTCCCATTTGCCGTTGGCCTACCTTTGACTCCTATCATTTTATGTGACGTCCTTGATGTAAAGTTTTGTTGTTGTTGGATTTCATAAGTTCTGCCTTTTGATTTGGGGTGATGGGTGGGGGGAAACATCAGAATCATGACACATTCTAATGTTCGGCTTTTGTTCTGTGCCCCCATTGTTCTGCTTGCAGCTCGCCTATGCCTGTCTAACCATGCTGCGCTGGGACTGCTCCAAGTCCCAGGGTGCCGTGGGGCTGGCTGGCGTCCTGCTGGTTGCACTGTCAGTGGCTGCAGGACTGGGCCTGTGCTCATTGATCGGAATTTCCTTTAACGCTGCAACAACTCAGGTACTAAAGGAGCCATTCATCCGCTGTCCGTTGACAAACGCCCCGGTCCCCCAGGCTCGGCCCAGCCAGCCTTCTGTGTGTCCTTCTCACCAGAAGGGTCTTGCAGCCTTCTCCACTAGGATGCTACTGGCCTCAGGGAGATGCTGTCTCTTGATGCCGTCTGCCCTGAGGGCAGTGGGTGGGAAGTCTGTTGGACTTACTGGTTAGTAGAGACACTTCGCGGATAGGAATGTATGTCATTGACCAGGGTTGTGGCTCTCCAACTCTGGCATTGGCATGGCTTGCAGGGCTTGTGAAAGCTCAGATTGCCAGGTCCCACTCCCGGGGTTTCTCAGTAAGTCTGGGGCTGGGGCTGAGAATGTGTACTTCAGGGCAGTTCCCAGTGATGCTGGTCCATGGACCACACTCTGCGAATCGTTGCTTAAATGAGTTAGATTCCTTCTCATGTACTAGCCTAAAAAAATGATAGTACACAGACCTTCGAAGTAGAAATGTGCAGGCTCTTCTGTGCCTGAAACTGCTAGGCTTTGGGATGTCGGGTGAATTCTTCACCATGAGGTCACGAAGCTCTGCTTTGGGAGCTGTCAGGCGCTGGTGGCAGTGTCCTAACTAGCTTTAGAATCCTCTGAATTGGATCTCACGTGTCTAATGCCAGCATCCTCTGTTTTTGCGGTAGGTTTTGCCATTTCTTGCTCTTGGTGTTGGTGTGGATGATGTTTTTCTTCTGGCCCACGCCTTCAGTGAAACCGGACAGAATAAAAGAATCCCTTTTGAGGTAATGCAAAATAGCAAAAGACGAGAGCTTTGGGGACATAGCAGCTTCCTCTGTTCCTATTTGTCCTTTAATTTTCCTCAGTCTGGCCCAGTAAAGATTTCAGTCCCATGTCAGATGATGTGCCACTGGCTGCCAGGCAATGAAATCAGCTGGAAGACCCTCCAGACATGTATTTGCTATGAGACGTCCCAAGAGCTGCATTTGGGGTGCCTTTGGGAATATGGGTGTTTATTTTAGTGTGGCACTTTACCCCTAGCTGCCATACCTTTCCAATGCCTGCTTTTGCTTCTCTGGAGATGTCCGTCACTTAGCCATCACCTTGCTCCACTCCCTTTTAAAATTAGACTTCAGCGTTAAGTCATTATCTTGCAGCTTTCTGCTCTGGACGGTAATAACCATGAGGAATCCATGACTCCGTAGATAGTACTGAATAATGCTGGTGTTAGAGGGCAAGGCAGGTGGTTCTTTCTCTTCCCCTCATGCCAGCATAAGCTACAGTTGTGTGACTCTGCCACGTATCTGCTCACACAGTCTGTGCTCCAAGGGGACCCTGTCCAGTGCAGCTCTCAGCGCTGTGGTTTCTTATTCCCAGGACAGGACCGGGGAGTGCCTGAAGCGCACAGGAGCCAGCGTGGCCCTCACGTCCATCAGCAACGTCACAGCCTTCTTCATGGCCGCGTTAATCCCGATTCCCGCTCTGCGGGCGTTCTCCCTCCAGGTGAGCTTCTGGTGATGAAGGCTACGGTGATCCTGAGCGGGGCACTGACTTCCAGCATCCCATGTCTGCGGTCTCTGCTAAGGCACTTCAGTTACTTACGAAGTGAAATAGAAATGCCTGTGTTTGAGGCTCTGTTGAACTGGGTGGATGCTTCTTTAAGCTCATAACCGTGACACTCCCTCCAAAAAACTCAGCACTTCTGGAGTTTTTCCTTCCTTTCTATCCCTATGAAGCCCAGATGCCTGTTGCCTTATAGAGTGGCCCTGTCCTTTGTATGTGGCTTTCAGGGCTACTCTGTGTTGTCCTCTGGGGTCACCAGTGCTGAAGCCAGCTTCTGGGCCATAGCCTGCTTTCAAACACCACTCCCAGTACCTGTGCTTACCCCTTCTCCCGCTGCCCACCTCATCCCAAACAGGCCACCTTTTCTTTTGCTTTTGCCAAAGCAGCCCCAACCCAAGACAGTATTAAGCTGAGGTCGCATGTCAGACGGCACTGCAGGACCACGGACGGGCCAGGCTGCCGTGGAGAATTTCCTGCAGGGTGTTCCTCGGCGGGCCCTCACTTTCCACCTCCCTTTCCTAAGTTGGCCTCCACAGTCTCTCCTGTCCCCTCTTCTCTTTCCTTTTGGTCCCCTGCTCCCCTCTCAGGCTGCCCAAGCAGATTCACAGTCCCTCTCACTTCCCATGCGGAGCACGTGGGCCCCTCATGACTTGTCCTCTCCTTCCAGGCCAGGCTGTCACCTCCAGAGGCCATAAGGATATTTGCTAATCAGAGACTCAGCTTCTGTGAATTGTGAGCACGGACAGTTCCCTGGGATGGGGATAGAGCTGTAGTCCTTCTGTGCCTGGAGTAAATTACTGACATTGCCCTTGAGCTACTTGAAACGCATAGGAATCCTAAAATGAGTTACTGCGGCTGATAGAGCAGAGACTTCACCAGTTTGTGCCATGGTCTTCTGGAGCCCAAAGTGGCCTGGAGTTTTGATATCTCAAGATGTTATTGGGGTTTTGTGAATTAATTTCAAATTTTAAAACCTCGATTGTTTCCCCTTTCTTCTCTGTGAAGATATGATATATAATTCTCAAGCTGGCCAGGTTTTTAAAGGAAACGACATTTGTGTCACTTTGTAGCCTGCTGTTACGATGCCCAGTGCACTCACACAGCTTTACGCTACTCACCAAGAGCTCTTGCAGATGCGAGCAGGAAGAGAAATTGACCAGTAATGCATCTGGTTTCTGCTTATATTTTGTCAATATGTTTAGCTCTTTCCTACTCTTTTACGTTTGTCTTATACGATGAACCAATCAATCACGTATTTGAATGCCATTTCACTAGATACCAAGGCCTGGGCAACTACTGATCCTACTGGGTTTGGGAATCGAGGCATCCTTAGTCTTTAGTGTGAGGCACAGTTGGATAAAAGATTCTATGCCAATGGCCATAACCACCAGCCCCAAAAGAAACACAAAAAGAAAAGAAAACAGGGTTTATTTGTATTATAAATCTACATAGAAGTAAAAATAGTGAATCAATGAATAATGTTCAGATCTGACGCTCGAACCAAAGCACAGGACAAGGAAACTCTCTGATTGCTCAGTGGCATGAAAGGTGAGCCAGACTCGCAGCGCAGCTGAAGTTGTAGAATGCCTTTGTGTGCAGGCGTGCATCTGCTCAGCACCCTGTGGTACCCTAGTCTCGTTTCATGTGCAGCAGGTGCTGGTATTGAGAAACCATTCTAGAGTCTTTCAGTCGTGGGACCCTCTCTCCCCATTCTCTCTCCTCTCCCCTTCTTTTCTGCTTGCCTTTTTGCTCACTGTCCTTCTGTACCTGCTCACACTCCTTCTTTTCTTCTTTTCTCTCTCATTCTCTCCTCTGCTCTCTCAGTACATACTGATGGCTCATCGAGGCCGACTGTCCTTTAACGACACCCTATGGTGTGGTGGTCTGAAACGCTACATGAGGTTTCCTTACGAGGAGTAGCCTTGTAGAAAATCCAGTGCGTTAAGTTCTCCCAAGGTAAGCACCTTACAGAGACGAAAATGAGTACTGTTGGTTTTTGTGTTTCTGTTTCAAACCACGGCAGTTATCACTGTAGAAAATTGCAACTATAGTTTCCAAGAGTCCTCATCTTATTAAAGAATGCCTCCCCGTGACACTGGTTCATTCTCTGTCAAAAAAAAAAAGATTGCTGGGCACGGTGACTCATACCTGTAATCCCAGCACTTTGGGAGGCCGAGGCAGGCGGATCACCTGAGGTCGGAGTTCAAGACCTCCTTGACCAACATGGAGAAACCCCGTCTCTACTGAAAATAAAAAATTAGCTGGGCATGGTGGTGCATGCCTGTAATCCCAGCTACTCGGGAGGCTGAGGCAGGAGAATTGCTTGAACCCAGGAGGCGGAGGTTGCAGTGAGCCAAGATCGTGCCATTGCACTGCAGCCTGGGTGACAGAGCAAGACTCCGTCTCAAAAAAAAAAAAAAAAAAAAGAAAATGCAAGGAAGAGAGTGAGCTTGCAATGGTATTTGCAGTGGCCATCAGAAGATTTTCCCTGGTTCTGTTTTAAATGTATTGACCCTCAAATTTAGTCATTATGTAGCTTCTCTTTCTGTTGGTGAACAGTATCAGGTTTGACTCTGGGTGTTCAGTTGTGTTTATATTTGCAAGATGCCACAAATTAAACTTCAAAAGGGAGTGACTCAAGGTGGTTCTGTCCAATAGTAAACCTGCGTTACCTTCAGAATTTTCCATATAAACTCCAATTTTGTAGACTGACCAAATAGTTAGGTTTTTTTTTCCACAAAGAAACTGTCTTAAACCTCATCAGCCTTTATCTATCTGCCTAAATGCCACCTCTACACCAGGAATCACTGGCACCAGCTGTAATTCTCTGTAATGAACTAGGGCTTGCTGGTAGCCCAGTAGTGTTTATTCTTCAATGAAAACTCGCAGAACAGAACCCCTTGTTGTTCTATCTGGTCTAGGAGGGTTCGACTGGAACCTTCTCTGCACGTGTCCCAGCCTTAGCTGCTTTGAGGGGATGGGCCATTTCCTATGAGCACAATAACTAGAATTGATTCACAGTTACAGTATCACCCCCATCATCTTCTCTGGTTTACTTACACTCTCTTGCCTTTGCGACAACCCTCTTCACTTTCTGAGCAGCCCTTGCTGGTTATTTTACTATTTTGGTGTCCATCTGGGAACCTGGCGTTGAGAAAATACTCCCCCATACATGTAGTAGGTTATGAGAAAGTCAGTTAGATGGGACTCCGCTTGGGGTTCTTCTCTCATCCCTTAACTGCCGTCACGGACATGGAGCAAGGTGCCCAGCAGGCTTCTCTGACCGATGAGTCCTGGTAGCCAAGAAGCTGCCCAACCTCTGTGGTGGTGGGTGTGGCTGGCAGGTGCCCATCCCTGCACCCGTGGGGTTCCCTGTGTCACAAACCTCTGCTCTCCTCATCCTCATGAACACCTGTCCAAACCGGGATGCCCAGGGTCTCTTCTCTACATTCCACTCCTCAATTCTAAACATGACTGATTATAAAAGCTAAAAGGATTCGGCCCCCAGGATTACATGCTCCTGGAAGATCTCCGTTAGAATCCTACCTGTTCTTGCCATCCCCTGCTGTCTCACGGTCATGGATCCTAACCCCGTCCACAGACATCCTCTCGGTAAGGGACCAGATCTCACAAAACTCCTGGTTCTCAGCTGCGCTGGGGGCTTTGATCTGATTTACTGGATAACCTCAGGCAGGTGACTTGACTGCACTTGGGGGACGTTATCAGATAATACTGTCAACAGCAGCGAGCACCCCCTGCTTGCTGTGAATCAGGCATGAATGACCTGATCTTCATAGCTTCTCCTTTCTCTTCCCCAAAGTGAATCTCAAACCCCAGCCGTACTGAGGTGCCTGCGCCAGGTGTCTCCTCTAGCACAGTCTGTGTTTTCTTCACAGGAAGCACCTACCATTCCCCTGCTCCTGACTGACCTCTTTTTATTTTATTTTCTTTTTCTTTTTTTGTTTTTATTTTTTATTTTTTTGAGGTGGAGCCTCACTCTTGTTGCCCAGGCTGGAGTGCAGTGGTGCGATCTCGGCTCACCACAACCTCCACCTCCTGGGTTCAAGCGATTCTTCTGCCTCAGCTGCCCGAGTAGCTGGGATTTTAGGCACACGCCACCACACCTGGCTAACTTTGTATTTTTAGTAGAGATGGAGGTTTTTCCGTGTTGGTCAGGCTGGTCTCAAACTCCAACCTCAAGTGATCCTCCTGCCTTGACCTCCCAAAGTGCTGGGATTACAGGCGTGAGCCACCATGCCCGGCCCTCTTTATCATCCTCTAAACCCTGCTGAAGCCTCTCCCAGAAAGCCTGCCTTGACTGATCACCCCTACACCCCACTGAGTTGTTCTGCAGCCTGGCACCTGCCTTTATGACACCATCCATCATTTGGGATTGTCATTTGCGTATAGGTCTTGCTCTGTGAGAATTGAGAGTAGGATTTTTCTTATCTTTGTGTCTTCAGCACCCAGCACAGTACTGGATTTTTCTTTTTAAAAGATCTTTCTCTCAGGTGAATTCTCCTGTCACAGTGGTGATGAGCTTATTTGTGTAGGCCTGTCAGACAGGTCTTACATACATGAGAGTGGTAAGCTAACATGCTTCATGTATTTCAATTGATGAAGGATTTTCAAGATAGACCAAGAAGAAAGAGGTTGGGTCGTTTTTAGAAGAAGACTCTTGACAGGGAATTAATTATTAGAAGACATCTCTCCAGAACTCAGGCTTGCTGGTTTACCTTGAGCATAAACTCCCAATTCCCATCCAAAGCCATTTGTGGAAGTTCTCCCTCGATTGTGTTAGGTGCCAGTTACAGCCAGGTTTTCTTTCCTTACCCTAGGACGTTTATCAATTTGACGTTTGTGAACTAAGCAGTTCTTTGAGAAGCCTCGTTTTTTATTTTCTTTCTTTTTTTTTTTTTTTTTTGAGACAGAGTCTCTCTCTGTCACCCAGGCTGGAGTGCAGTGGTGCAATCTTGGCTCACTGCAACCTCTACCTCCCAGGTTCAAGCGATTCTCCTGCCTCAGCCTCCCAAGTAGCTGAGACTACAGGCGCCCGCCACCACGCTCAGCTAATTTTTGTGTGTGTTTTTAGTAGAGACGGGGTTTCACCATGTTAACAGGGATGGTATTGATCTCCTGACCTCATGATCCACCTGCCTCGGCCTCCCAAAGTGCTGGGATAACAGGCGTGAGCCACCGTGCCTGGCTTCGTTTTTTATTTTCAAAGCCATGTCTGTCAATGTCCTGGCTCCTCAGCGTCGCCAGTGCGTTTCTCTGTGGTGCCCCCTCTGCCATGCCCTTCCGAGCTAGGTCGACTTTCCACTGGCCTCTGTTGGCTTCGTCTATTAACAGCCCAATTTTGTAATTTTTACTAGGTCAGCAGGAGATTTGCCAACACACTGCAGAATCTAGCCCTGTGTTTATTCTAGGTTATAGAGTGACTTTTGAATCTATACTTATTTATTCTGCCTACTATAATCACACACAGGAATTTCTTTCTGCTTAACTGTCCTTGGCCTTCTCTGTTTCTTGCTCTCACACCCCACTGGCTACTCCAGAGGCTGTTTGGAATTTGCCTATGAAAACCTCAGGGGACACGTGCGAAATGGGATTTCATGTTTTAAAGGGGGACATTTTGATATACTCGCTCCACTTTATATAAAAATGTTTAACTGTAAAATCAGGGTCGCGTGACCTCTTGGAAGCATTCTGGAAGGGAAATGCTTCTGTTTTACATTCTGTCTGGAGCGTGCTCTCTGTTCTCCTTTGTGGATTCGGTTTGGTTAGGTTACTGCAACACGTTAGTAGTGTAGTTCCCAGGTGTGTGCCTTACCGGTTCATGGAATTATTAGAAAGTCCAGAAATAGTCAAGGCTATTCTTGTCACATCGGCTCTTGATGATGTAGCAAAAGAACCTCTTAACATCTGTCATAGTTTCAAACACGTCAAGAGGAAAGGGAAAGAAAAATACTGTTTAAAAGCGTCTTTATTTTCGAAGCGGTCCTCCGACTGGGCGGAGGGGTATTGGTGACCTCTGACTGGGCGGAGGCGTGTCGGTGACCTCTGACTGGGC